AAAGAGAGAGAGAGCGAGAGAGAGAGAGAGAGGGTGTGTGTGTGTGTTAGAGAAAGAGAGAGAGAGAGAGAGAGTGTGTGAGAGGAAGGAGAGAGAGAGAGTGTGAGAGAAAAAAAGACCGTGAGAGGGGGAGAGAGAAAAAACCCCCCTTTTAATTTCCCCCCGAAAAAAAGAGAAAAATCTATATATATATATATATATATATATATATATATATATTTATAGATATATATATATATATATATATATATATATATATATATATAAGAAAATATATATATATATATATATATATATATATATATATATATATATATATATATATATATATATATATATATATATACTGCATAAATTGTAATTAAATTATTCTCGGTCCATACTGAGATATTGTAGCTCCATTGACCATGCGGGCTGCGGCCCAGAAAGCTCAAGATTGCAGCCTCAAAATTGGCAAACGGTGTGGTCCACCTAAAATTATAAAAAATCTCTCTCTCTCTCTCTCTCTCTCTCTCTCTCTCTCTCTCTCTCTCTCTCTCTCTGTCTGTGTATATATAGTAAATAAATATTTAATTATTTATTAATAGAAACAATAATATATTTTGCATAACTAATTTAATATATATATATATATATATATATATATATATATATATATATATATATATATATATATATATAATGGGCAAATGGCAAAAAGGCCCTTCACATGGGACTTAAATGTATTTTGGTCCACAAAAAAAACAGTCTCTCAATTAAACCCATCCCCATGTCTTTAGGCTAAAATACCCTCAATAATATAATTCTTATCAATTCCACCCATTATGCTCTAACTTCCTTAATATTACACATTGACCCCGGATTTAAACAAATATATCACGTTAAAACCCAAAACTTTTTTTTTTTCAGAAAATAATTTTTTTTCTGAAATATTTTTTTTCCGGCCAGATTCGGGCGTTGATTTTTTTTTTTATTTGAAATTTTTTTTTGAATTTTTTTTTTCCTGAAATTTTTTCCTGCAACTACCGTTGACCGCCGGTCTCCGGCGTTGACTTTTTTTTTTTTTAATTTTTTTTTGAGAAAAAAAATATTTTAATTAATATTACTATCTTGGCTACTAAATTACTTTCTCAGACAGTAATATTACTGTTTGGGATAGTAATATAATGAATATTATTTTTTCGAACAGTAATATTATTAATATTATTGTCTAAGACAGTTAAATTACTGTTGGAGACAGTAATTTAGCATCCAAGGCAATAATATTAATTAAAATAATTTTTTTTAAGGAAAAAAAAAAGTCAATTAACAGTTGAATTACTGTTTCCGACAGTTAAATAACTGTTGGAGACAGTAATTTAGCAACGAATACAATAATATTAATTAAAAATATTTTTGAAGAAAAAAAAAAGAGTCAATTAACAGTTAAATTACTGTCTCCGACAATTAAATAACTGCTGGAGACAGTAATATAGCAACGAATACAGTAATATTAATTAAAATATTTTTGAAGAGAAAAAAAAGAGTCAATTAACAGTTAAATTACTGTCTCCGACAGTTAAATAACTGCCGGAGACAGTAATTTAGCAGCCAAAACAGTAATATTAATTAAAATATTTTTTTAAGAGAAAACAAAATTATATATAAAAAAAAGTCAACGCTGGAAAAAAATTTCAGGAAAAAAAAATTTCAAAAAAAAAAAAAAAAAAAAGAAAGTCAACGCCGGAGACCGGCGGCGACCGACGGTCTCCGGTGGTGGCGGGTCAAAATTGAGGTCAAAATTGAAATTATGGTTCAAATTGGTTAATTGATGAAATTGGGCTAAATTGGGGTGTAAATCATGAAATTGGAATTAAATTGGGTTTCTGTTGTAAATAATCTGGTTGTGGGGTTTCCTAACATAACCACCCAACTCCCCACTAGATCACTAAGCTACCCATGTCTTCCCATCATGTGTTAGTGGTAGAGTAACTTATTTTGTAACTTCTCTTGTACCTCCCGGTGGTTTTTCACCTATATAATGGAATTCTCCCTCCCCCATATTTACACCCCTTATTAATCTCTCTACGGATTTTTGTCTTTGCATTCTCTCTCTATCTTTTATATTGTTGTCATACTTTATTTTCCACCATCATCAAACCGAAGAGCAATACCATTAGGGCGATTTACAACACGTTATCAGCACGAATTGCTCGCGGTGATCGTGGAAGAACAATTGTTCGTGGGACTAGAATACTTGGAGAAATTGTGAGCGTGGTTCGTTTGTAAAACGGTGATCTACTTTCGTAGAACGTATAATCTTCTCTATAGTATCTGAATTTTATCAATTTTCAAGTAAGCCTTAACCCCTTAAAATTCTTTATTATATGAATGCATGTTAGATAAATTTGAATTAGCATGAAAAGTTGTGTAGCATATTTATTTGATGTCATTTGATATTTGTTTGAAAATCTCGGTTGATGTTTCGAATAGTGTATGATTCATGAATAGATTGTTATATGAGTTGTACTTTGTTGGTGAATGAAGATAAGAAGTTTATGAATTAATCTGTTTGTCAAGATGAGTAATATGTAATATTCTTGTAGAATGATTTCACTATGAATATTCTGCGTACATGTTTGGACATTTAATGTTATATGACCAGTGAATAAAATCATCCCTGTGAATATTCTGTGTGCATGAAACAATCGGTTTGTCTAATAATCATGAACTGGTTGAAATATATGTGAATTCTTTGCGAGTCATATATGCTATATGTGGTTGTATCACGTCATATGCAAATTTCATGACATTAAAGTAATACACAATAATTTGATTCGCATGTATTCTTTGTCTATGTACGATAGGATGGAACATTTGAGCAGACTTGATTTCACCCCTTTGAATGTATCTGGTGAGAACTACGTGAGTTGGACAATGGATGTTAAGATCCATCTCACTAGTAAGAAACTGAGGATGGCTATCGTTAAAGAAAATCTGCTTAACGAAGCCCAGAAGGCTGAAGCCATGATTCTGATTATGAGGCACCTAGATGAGGTCCTCCGTTTGGACTACTCATCGATTGAGGATCCCCAAATACTATGGGATGCCCTGGCTAGTCGATTTGATCACCGAAAGACAATCCTCTTGCCTGAAGCAAGAAATAAATGGATTCACTTACGGTTTATGGACTTAAAAACCGTTAACGAGTATAACTCTGAAGTATGTCGCATCAAATCCACCCTGGAGTTTTGTGGAGAGAAACTAACTGATGCTGAGATTTTGGAGAAGACGTACTCTACGCTCCCAACCTCACATATGATACTGTCTCAACAGTACAGAGCCAAGAACTATACTCAGTTTTCAGAGTTGGTCATAGTTCTGCTCCTTGCCGAGAAGAACCTTGATCTTCTTTTGAAGAACAACCAGGCTCGATGATACGCGTTTTCCTCACGTATAAATTACCGCAAGTATACGGTATCGCATTTTGCAGAACAGTGGTTCCGGATATCGATCCACAGGGACCTTGTAGATTCAAATGCTGAGTAGTGTAATTATATTATCGTTATATTATCTAGCCGATCGTAAATAAGTGGATTGGTGATAAACCCTAATTTAAAAGCATGCAAGATCGTAAACATGCAAATATGGAATGCACGTAAATAAAGTACGACAACTCAACGCGGGGGGACTTCGATTTAAAGGGGACTTCTAGGGCCAAATCCACCTATATATAATCAACAACGATCTACAAATCCGTTATCTAACGCCACATTCCTATTCGTTAACCCATACGCTAAAGTACTCTAACCCCCGTCTCCAGTGTAGTTAGAGTCTACCCACAGGTCCGACGTCTCAATTCAGAACCTGCTATTAAGAGAGCATTTAGGCCAAGTCCTTAAGGGCTACCCGAAGTGCATCACGTCTCCGTTTCCACACCCCGAGCTATGTTTTCCTAACTTCAAACAAGAAATCCTCTCTCGAGTTCATTCCTATTTAATATCAATCTGAGAGCTGATCAACACAATCAGAAGCATTTAATACAGGAAAACATAAACGAAATCAAAACGCGACAAATAGATAACAGAAATGACGATCGAAATCAATATATACAAGGCTTCATTGCCCTAGAAGAAAATGTTCTTAGTTCATAACAAACATAGTATCAAAAGAATGTACAAAGGATATCGAAGAACAAAACGTAAAGAAATTTCGTAAGAAAAACCCAAGTCGGAACCCCCGTTGATGATTCCCGCGAAGAACTGTCGAAAACCGTAAAAAGTCGAAGAAGAAGGAAGGGTGAGGGCTTGCTTCTATTTGTAGTAAATTGCAAAGCTTCCTCAAGAAGCTTTGCTTTCTAAAATATCTGCCCTCGAAAATCGTGCCAGATCGCGATCCCATAAAGTCGGATCGCGATCTGGCTTCTCGAAAAAAACGTGAACCGCCACCCAGATCGCGATCCAGGAAGTGCGGATCGCGATCTGCCCCAAAATCACGATGCTACTGGAATTTGTCACCAGATCGCGATCCGACTTTCCTGGATCGCGATCTGGGTCTGAATCTTGCTTGCTACTGGAATTTGCATCCAGATCGCGATCCGACTTTCCTGGATCACGATCTGGGTCTTAATGATCACTTTCTCGGCTTGAATAATCGGTTTCGCTTCCAAATGGCTTCGACTTGGCAACAAAAGCTAACAAAACCTAAAAAAGGAAATAAAACAAGAAACGCAATAATATATACAAATAAAGCCGAAACTCGGACGAACGAAGACCAAAACTCGAAGATTTGATAAGCAAAAATCGTGCAAAACGACCACTTATCACACCCTCAAACTTAGATCTTTACTCGTCCCGAGTAAATCAAAACGAAACTACAACAAAAATGAAATAAAAACAACAAACTAAACTAGGCCACTAACGTAGGGAATCACGATTGCATTTAGCGTATGCAACAAGCCTTTGAACCCCTGGGTACCCCCAAAGGACGAGTTGTGTCTCGTGAGGGTTTTCAGACAACACACCCACAAAGTTGCCGGATTGGTCAAAGCATTGCAATTAATTCGAAAGATAAAACGAGCTAGATAACCTAAAATCTCATAATGGCCCATGGCTTTAAGGTATTCGACTTTCCTACCGACGCAATTAGTTGTTTCTACACCAAAATGAAAGATAGACTCAAGAATCCGTAATTAAACAATAAACACAATTATCGAGGGTTTTGAGTAGAAATGTGGGTGAAAAGTAAGTTTTGATTCAGAAATTCAAAAACTCGAGTTGGGCATAAGTAGGTCTATTTATTCAAATAAAAGAAATGACAACTACAATATTTTTGGTGATTTTCATCACAACTTTTTTCTTTTTTCATTTTTTTTGAAACGGGCATAATCGTGACTCGTGCAAGGCCCGACACCACTGTGTTATCTCCCTGACCCATTTATCGAACTTTAGTCCAAGAAACCCCCAAGCTCGACAACTCGGGAGACTTAGGCGACGAGGTGCACCCAACGGGTTAAGCTCGAGTCAGAAAGGCGGGGAAATCAGAGCGTGAATCACAACAATACCACAAATTATTATTTTTCTCTTTTTTTTTTTTTTTTTTTTTTTTTTTTTTTTTTTTTTTTTTAAACATCGAACATAAAATAAAAACGTAAAGACCATTGATAGAACTTTTAGCCAACAACTGGAAATCGTGAACATATAATTCAATTCTAACTCGCCCCCCAAACCTTAGACTATTATACCCCTCAGAAAAGTGCGCTCCAGCTTAATCGGAAAGGATTCGAAAGGCTATCCACACAAGTTGCAAAAACGCAGTCGGAAGGTACATCTATAATTAGCCGGTGATCCATAATTTCAATTTTAAAATCAACTAGCCCATCTACTAATTCATTAATTGCTTTGCTTCAAAAGAACCCGGAAATGCAAATTACACTCGATCCTAAATGAAATGCATGTGACAAACATAAGACAATAACAGAAATCAAAATACATAAACGAAACTAAATTATATGATATGCATGCAAAAGACCAAATCAAAATAAGATAAATAAAATAAAATAAAAACAAAGTCTATCAAAGATACATCGTAAACGAAATATCAATCCAACGACTTATCAAAAAACAAACGAACAAAAAAAAAAAAAAAAAAAAAAAAAAAAAAAAAAAACAAACAAACAGGTTCAACACACACCAATCACCCTCAAACTTAAATTCTAGCATAGTCGCTATGCTCAAAAGCAGAATAAAAAATAATAGGGATAGAAAACACAACGTCCCCTAGTTGTCTTGATCGTCCTCGTGGGCTCCTCCCTCCTCTTCCTGTCGTCCCCGCTCGTACTCCTCCCATGCCTGTGCCACCAGTGTAGTGGCTGCCGCTTGTGCTCGTTCGTCGGCGGCGGAGGTTGATGCTGCATCATATCGAGGCCGTGGTGGGAACGGCCGTGGCTCGACAATGTCATCGGTCCTGCACTGAAGCGCTGCAGCCATGGCCTTCATCATTTTCTTGAACCATCCCACATTTTCCTCCATAACATCCATCCATTGGCCGACATACTCCGGGAGCTGTGGTTCTGCTTCTTGTCTGCCTCTTCTGGCCCTTTGTTCTGGTCGAGCCGCATGAACACCTGAGGGACCAGCATCTGGTAAGTCTGAGTCGCCCTCGCCTAGGGGTCCACTCGCTGGCTGGAGCTTGTGGTAAGGGAAGATAGGCTGTGATGACCTGGTGAGCCGGTCATCAGCGTATGTGGGGACCCCTGCACGATCACACAGTGTAGTGATGAGGGAAGGGAACATCAGACCTAGAGAGGTATCACCTAAGCATCGTCGGATCTCAGCGTGTATTATCGCGCCCACATTCACAGGTGTCTTCTTCATAATGGCATACATCAGTGTAAGACGTGGGGCATAGGTCTTGGCCGTCGACTTTGTGGGCATGAGCCTGCTACGGACGAAGTACATCCATACCTTCGCTTCCCTTGAAAGTTCCCCCCGACGGAACCAGTGCTCTCCTTTTTTGCCACTTCGAACCCCTAGGGCAAAGAGTCTGAATCAGCTCCTCATAGGTCGTTTCCATCTTCAGTTGTTGAAACGGCTCGGTCGGGACTTCGGGTAGGTGGAAAAACTTGTTGATTGTAGCAGCGTCATAGCGCACCTCTTTGTCTCGAAGAACGACCACCGACCCCGCGTGAAAACCGGCATTGGCATAGAAGAGCCTCACTAGATTCTCGTTTTAGTCCTCCGGTCGTTTGGCCAAGTACTTCCATTTTCGACGATCAAAGTTTGTTATGATCGATTCTTTTTCCATGCCATAGATATCTAATTCCCTTTCTGGAACAAACGGTCGGCTATGGCGACGTATGAATTCTCTTTTGGCCTCGACGTTCACGTACAAAAACTCATCTCCCGGTTCGAGGACTACGTGGTCAAGGATGGTGTGTTGATTAGCACGGGAGCCCATCTCAAGTTGCACGTTTCCCGTGCGTGGGGTTTGTTGCTCTTCCCGCACCTCGGATGGTGGTGGTGCGCTCGAAGTGCCTTCTTGGCTTCCCGTGCCTCGAGAAGCTGCCTTTTTCTTCGGTGCGGCTTTTCCCTTTGCCGGAGCCTTCTCCTTGGGTTGGGCTTTTTTGGTGGTTTCGCCCGTCTTTAAGAGTTTCTTGGCCGGCGACGTCATATCGCTCGAATTTGTGCGAGATGGAAGGTCGAAAGCTTTTGGAAGTTCGTTCGGGAATTTTGTCGAACACTTGGCGTGCCCAACTTGGTAAGCCTTTTGATTTCCACCGGTTGTTCGGTACCTATCCCTCCTACATCAATCACAACACCCAAGTGAGAATCCACCACTACATACAACAATAGGTAGCTAAACAATCAACCCAAGTCATTCAAATTTTTATTTTATCCTTCATTTCGAAATTAAGAACAATAGGGCAATTCCTATATCTAAACATTGGTTCACCCGCAAATTCATGTTTTGAATCCCAACACCTAGTACAAAATCACGTACTAGCATACACAATTAACAAACAAGGGGAAAAAAACATGAAATTTTGGGGAAATTCGAAAGAATTGAAGAAAATAAAAAAAATTAGGACTAGATTGAAAATTTACCTTTTCTTGAAGATTCACCCACAAATTCTTGGAGTAAATGTGCAAATCGTGAATTTGTGATGATCAAGTGTGTGATTGATGTGTTTTTGATGAAAGAAATTGAAGATTTTGAAGTTGGGGAGGGGTTAGGGTTTGGAATTAGAAAAGGGAGAATAAGAAAATGAAAGGGGTTTGTGAATTTTGAACTGTTTTTCGACCCCAGATCGCGATCCACACTACCCGGATCGCGATCTGGAGACTCACCTTGCAGCTTCTGGAAAAAGGCCCCAGATCGCGATCCGACTTACCTGGATCGCGATCCGGCCCTTAAAATCGCAGTCTCTGGAAAAACGT